CTCTCCTAACAATGCTTGCACGATCTTGAGGTTGCTCTTCCTCAGGTATTCGAACCTGAATCGACCCAAGTCGAAGTTTTTGAGGAGATTTCATTCCTCGCTCAGAGCTGTGTGGACGGTTATAATGTCTGCATATTTGCTTATGGCCAAACAGGTTCTGGCAAGTCCTTCACTATGGAAGGCGGATCGGTATACTTTTTTGTTCGTGTAGGCTTCATATGTCTCACCCACTATTTTTTCAGACCGAGGCCACGACAGGTATGATACCTCGCGCAGTGAATCAAGTATTCAAAGCTGCCGATGACCTAAAGTCCAAAGGATGGGAGTACAAGATGGACGGCCAATTCCTCGAGATTGTGCGTATCTTGTCGTTATACTGCAGGGACCCAATTGAGAAAATGCACAGTACAACGAAACAATCAACGACCTCCTCGGCAAGGGTGAGTTCGACAAGAAGAAGCATGAGATCAAGCACGACAAGTCGGGTACTCGTGTCACTGATGTGAACGTGATGCCTTTGCAATCTCCAGCGTCTGTTACCTCCCTCCTCCGTGTCGCTAACTCCCGGCGCACCGTGGCAGCTACCCTGATGAACGAGCGTTCGTCGCGTTCGCACTCTGTCTTCACACTCCGAATCTCTGGTACAAACACCCACACCGGTGAGAGCTGTGAAGGCAGCCTCAATCTCGTGGACCTGGCTGGTAGCGAGCGCCTCAACTCGAGTGGGGCTGCGGGGGACAAAGACCGACTGAAAGAGACGCAAAACATTAACAAGAGCTTGAGTGCGCTTGGGGACGTCATCGCTGCACTAGGCGAAAAAGCAGAAAAAGGAGAGAAGCACATTCCATATAGGAATTCAAAGGTGATTTGCGGGCTTCTTGGCCCCATGCCTTCTGATCGACGCTGATGAGGTTTCTAGCTGACGTATTTGTTGCAAAACTCGTTGAGCGGAAATTCCAAGACCCTGGTAAGCGCGGGATCTGATTATGGAGATGTTAGTATGACATGATTTTGTGGCAGATGATCTTGAACCTCTCGCCGCTGGCGGCACATCTAAATGAGTCTCTCTGCTCCTTGCGATTCGCGACGAAGGTGAACCCCATCGTTGTTCCATGTGGTGACTTCTAAACCTTTTGTAGGTAAATAATACCATGATTGGAACTGCCAAGAAACAAATCCGAGGATCAAGTTAGCCGTCCGTCTAATGTCTGCCGCCCCACGTCATCGTCGCTGCTGTCGTGCAGGCGCGTTTCGTATTTTGTTATTCTATAATATAGCCGCCGTGTCGTACGCAAAAATTTTATGCATTTCGCTTAACGTCAAGAAAGTGATGGCTGCCGTGAAGCGTATTTGCCGTGCGCTAAAGGGGACAATATAGTCCCGGACCAGCAGCATACATAATGAACATATTATTATCATTATAGTCTACGCATCCGCGCGTCGAGTTGTGGATCATAGCACTCAGGTACAAAAGGTATAATCATCTTCGTGGATTTGTCGTGGATGGATGTCAGCCTCGTGGTTATATCGTGTAAACCACGCACCAAACACGTGTCTGATGCTCATGCAATGACACCCTAAAACAAATGCCTAATGAAGGACAAGAGCAACCGTGGCCCGAGGTATGTGTGTATATGCAACCAGTGTAATTTGCTTCGAGGCCGTTTTTGATTTCATGACGCGGAAAATTTGTCTTTGGCTTCCCGTCTGACGTCGTTGCCCCATTTAAAAAAATTGCATCGGTATCGGTGATCCACCTCTTCGCGAAGGCGTTCGCTTTTACCTTTGTCGTACCCCGGGCCGACAGGTCTAAATGAAAGGAATTAGATAGAGGCGAAATGAAGGGTCATGATGGGACAGACCTCGAACAGAGGAAAAAAGTTTTCCCCTTGTTTGAACCCGGCTTGGTAACGGTGTGCTCCTTTGCAGGTTCACCGTGTACAAGACAATTTGGTGGTTGAATGGGAGCCATCAGCTGTGACCACGCCGCTTTACTTTGCGAAGCTGAAGGCGTCGCTGAGGTAGCTAAGTCCTGTGAAAGCGGATTTTCAAGTGAAGCGGCAAGCTCGAGTGCGAGCTGATGGTCGGAGTCTATGTAGTCCTGGTAATCGGTGACGTCGCTTGGAGAAATTTCCTGGCTGCAAGGATGCGAGACTGTCGGTTGCGCAAAGAACGAGGAGATTTTGCTTTGACCACCTTTCAATTTCTTGGGCGCTTTCTTGGCTGCATTGTCTGATGACTTGCGTTTGGTAGAACTAGCTGGGGGCACAGTTTGGCGTGACGGAGTGGGATTTAACTGTAGCGATGGTTCGGGTGGCTGGCTCGTGGATGCGCACGCCGAATTACGAGAGCTCAGCGAGGGATTTGGAAGTGGAATAACAATGGCAGACTGCGTGTGATCGGGCTGTGCAGCACCAGAATAATCCCTGGGCAGTTGTGTGTCTGGAGTGGGCGAAAGCGGAGAATTGCTAGGTGGATGCAGCTTGTTCCCTTTCTCAAAAAACATGGACAGTAGTTTCTGCTTCCCGGAATACTCTTCCCATCGTCGTGCTGCGAGCCGAGGCAGGTCTTCCCGATTCCCGTTGATTGGCAAGACGTCACGAAGGAATAATCGTTCGCCAGCGTCAGTTGTTATTTCGTCATGAAGATCGATATATATTGGACAGTGATCAGAGCCTTTGAGTGATGGCTGAATGTCTCCGTGCTTGATCCAGGGAAGTATACCGGGTGTAACGAGAATGTAGTCAACCCGGGTACCATAATTGGTCTCTCGAGCTGAAATTTTCGTGTTCCAACCTAACATAAAAAGTATATTAAAGATGGGAAGAGATCAACCACACTTGCGTCTTACATGTGTACATTGCCTTTCTGCCAGGCCAGAATGTCCGCACGGCATCTGTCATGCAACCAATAGGACTCAACCACCTATGAAACCACGCACGAGCAGGATGGTCGTAGAAAGTTGCAGTGTTACTAGCAAGATGACCGTCGCAATGGTCCAATGGCGTTGCACAAACATTGATGTCACCGACGACCACAACTTCCCGGCCTTCATTCATGAGCTTTTCGACTCGATCTTGCAGCATGACGTGGAAATTTATTTTGAAAGGAAGACGAGCATCAGAAGTTTCGTTTGGACAATAGACGTTGATCAGTACGAATAGGCCAAAGTCTATGATCAGGGCACGGCCTTCACCATCTAAGGCAGCGAAATCGCTTGGGGTTGATCCATGCTCGTCCGGCATTAGTTCGATTTCATGTGCGCAGGGATATGAACGAGATATCCGATCATCCGACGTCAGAGGTGGTTTGGGCTGCAAGATGCCGGAGAGACCCTCCTCTGCCCGGAGTGGAATGACAGTGCGGGAGTTAGCGTAAACAGCGACACCACTATACCCTCCTTTATTCTGTGGGAAGGAGAAGAAAGCTTCAAAATCGTCTGGTAAAGCAACACAGCGTGACAGGTTGGAACGCGAGGTTTTCATTTCTTGGATAGATAAGGTTTGGGCATTCGACAGGGGAAGGTGAAATGAATGAACAACCCGCACCTTGAAAGCAGATTATATCTGCCTTGAGATGTTCCAGAATTGCCTGAAATGAAGTGAAGGTATTCCATCTACGGTTTTTAGGCCCTTGGAAACCAGGTGGAAATCATGGATAACTCACGGGTGATATTGAGGAAGAGTTCTAACACCATTCTGTCGGCCCAAGCAGAATGTCAGAGTACATTCTTTCGTGAAGGAATTGGGATCATTTCTTACAATGTTCCATGAAAGGATCCGCATGGTTCATGAGTGCGTTAAGGTGTCCTCTACTACGGATGAGTTCGACTGGATCTACTGTACTCAGTGAGAGAAGGAAGTAGTGGAAAGAGCAATCGAACTTCCCTTTTTTGGCATAACGAGCTGGCCAATGTCACATGCTCCGTCACATGTCCAATCGATTGAGACGACAACGATGCAGCACGCTCCTACCACATTTTATTGAAGATGGCACTATGGCAGAAATATTCGAGGGCCCTCTTACTTTTCCACTGAAACAACCGGTCTAAACGGTTTCGGCATATCTTTCACCAGTTGCGGACCACGTCATGGAGCCCTTTTGATACCTCACTCCGTAGCAGCCTGAGAAGTCTGAGATCATGGCCTCCTTTTACGGAGTTCTCCGCGCAGGAGATAGAGCCGTACTGGAAGCTATGATAAGGCTCTGAAAGTGTATGTCCTGTACGTGGTCGTTTGCTTCTGACTGAGCACTGACCATCGCGTCTCTGACAGCCATATCCGATTCCTGCAGGCTACCTCTTCAGTTCACCCCAAATATGTTAGTCCATTTAACAAAAGTTTCACCTCCGCGGCCACAGGCTTCCACTAGTCGTCCATCTATAGTCATCCTTTGATAATTCACTTACTCGCAAACACGTTGCTTCCGCACGTCTGATCCATCAGTACCCGATCACACCGTTTTTACGTCTACACGTTGCCCTTGAAACCCGTCCATATTATCTCGCCAATTTTTTTGCCCATTATTCTGTCCCGTGCTTATGTATTTTGAGAATGATTCACCGTAGATTCACTTATTATCTTCCTATCAGCTTGACAGCACTCTACTATAGATCAGCGCAGCTCCACGTCAGGGTCACCGGTGCTTCGTATTCTTCCTCGAGGCTGTCACGCTCCGAATCGCTGAGTTCAGTGAGTCTAGCGATAACATGCCGTCATCTTAAATAATTCCTCACTGAGACGTTCAGCGTATGAATTTCGCATTTCGCTTTCAAATCACGACTTCTACATGCGGTGCTCGCCTAGGCCGTTCTGCCGTTTGAAGCATATTTCAGAGCCTTACTTTAGTTCCCCATTTCAACATCAAAACTAGGATCCGATCCTTGCGCCTATAATACCCAGGGACGATCGCTGCAGCAAACACGGTAGTGTTTTCTCTCTATGTTTCGTGGTACGTCCTCCAGCAGAGCAGTTTTGACCATTCTCACTTATGTTGAAGGCACAGGAGCAGCACATGCTGCTCGTTCTTTCCATGACGCAACCTCAAGCCCCTACACTCGAAGTGAAGCGTTTACGGACCCGAGACGGAAGCAGACAATCATTAGTCTTTTGGATGTCCTGAGCGAGCTTAGCAACGAGGCGTCTTCAGACCATGGTCAGTCGTCCCCGCTGGCCATCATACACTGTTAATTGTCTATTTTAGATGCCAACCTTCCTTCTAATTTCGAAGATGACCGAGACGTCCGTGAGTGGTCATCAGCGCATCGCTCAGTCTTGGCCTGAGTTGTTTTCAGCTACTGTGGATGAAAAACTGCAAGTTGCAGGGTCAGAATTGTTTAATAAATTCGAGAGGTAAGACCCACATTGTTGCTTTGTCTCCTTGCACTGACTAGTCTGCACAGGCGAATGGATAATCTTGACAAAGAGGTACGAACAGGTGCAGCTCTCATGCTTTAGCGCTCACCTCCTATGTAGCTCCGGAACTTCGCTAACGCTGCCCGCCAACTTGGCAGTTCCGTTGGAATATTGTCCTCTGCTTTTCGACTACGGGAACGCCTCACAAAATTATTGTTTCTATTTCGCGAAAACGCAGCTACACTATTCCCTCGGAAAATTTCGCGTCAACCTCGGGAAACATTAGTTAACCCTAACTTGATGGACCGACGACGTACATGGAGAGGTCAACAACCCCCGCTCAGGCCCATACATGATGACGGTCTTGATCCCGAAAGTTTTCCTGGTCAATTCGCTAGTTTCGCAGAAGATGTCGTAACGTTCCTGAACTGCTTGAACGAGTTTCCGGAGTTTACAGATGAGGCAGTCAATACGTCAATGCGTGCTTTCGAAGTCGATCTCAAGGTGAACTCTTCGGTGTGTTACATTATTCTCCGTTAACCGTATTTTTTAGTATTGGGCCTCGTGTCTTCAGGAGTACAAAGGTAAGATGTCTGCATGGGGTTGCATTGGACAATCTTCTCAACTAGTTTCAGGTCAATTTCGGTATCCAGCAGTGCAGCGCTATATCCACGATTTGACATCGGAGATTGGGGAGCACATCGACAACATCACGGTCAATCTGTCGATGTTTATTGAAATCGGTATACATACAATCCATCCTTAAGCACTTCCAAACTTATGTTCTCCTCCAGGCGTACCGACGATTAGGTTCGCCCAGCAGCATGCAGCAGCAAACCTGCTAAACCTGTCGACAGTCGCGACGTTCTTCTCAGCTGTGACAGCAACGACCTTACAATTCTCATACCAGTTGACGGATGGAGTGCTGGAGAAGTCTGTTAATGCGTTCTGGTTCTCCTCGTTGGTTTTCAGTATAGCAGCCGCAGTGAACAGTCTTCTCGGTCTCACCTGGAAGCAAGCCATGTAGTAAGTCTGTCATTCGTCCTACCTGTACTCGTGTCTAATGACAGTCGTTCAGTCGTTCTCCGGGACATAGGGTACCTTGGTGGGTATTGATATGGATTAAGCGATCGCCTTTAGTCTTTCTCGTCATGTCTGTGGCATGCTTTTCCGCGGGCTTGATGCTTTTCACATACGCTACAGATCAGGTATGGGGTCTTATTCTGCTGATGAACGCGTGTCTAAGACGTCATATTTTGGTCAGGGTTTTGTTACGTCCACAATCACCACTGTTTTTACAGTAAGTCTATTGATAGCTCGGCGCTTCTGAATTGCGTGCTTACTTATTCCCAGGCTGTCACTTCCTTCGGCCTGGCTGCCGTCTCCGCTTGGTTCGCCTCAGAACGCTGGATATTCGTTCAGCACCGCGGTCATGTGTGGCTGGAGGATGTGATAAACGAAACAACCCACCGCATGCTCCTCCTTTCTGCTGTTGTGGAAGTGCGAAAGATCATCCATTACTGCAATCAACGCATCTTGGCGATCCGCGGCTTGATAAGACGAGTGTCTTTCAAGAAGGTAACCAATGCGATTGCGCGGTTCAGACATAAGCACCATACTCTTCCCACCACACAGGAGGGCCCGCAGATGCTTGAAATTTCTCGCCACCACGAACCAGCTTTATCTGTGTGCTCGGAATACACCGAACGTCCCAATTCTTTGGATGCACCTGCGAGTGAGGAGAGCGAGTCTTCCCGTCGATCCATTGCCCGTCAGCGCTTTAAGGGAGCTGTTCGTTCTGTCATCATGATGCAGCAACAGCAAGCGGGGCAGGTCCCGCTGTATCTACGGCCATTCATGCCGCCACGGACACCTTCCTTTGACCGGAACTCCACTGCGGGAATGTCTCCCACCCGATTCTCGTCCATCGGTTTGAATACCATTCGAGGACAGAGAGTTTCCACGTTGATACCAAAGCTGAGAACTTTGGAACCCTTACAGGACCTTTCCATACATACTGCCCTTGTTCGACATCTACAGTTCTCCCCAAACGGAAAATATCTCGCTACGTCAAGGTGCGTTATGATTTCTTTGTGGCTTCTCAGGCTGATATGCTGCGTCAAGTTGGGATAGGTCTTCTATCATTTTTCGTGTCGGGGTAAGCATATGAGGCATCGCGCTTTACAAACATTGTTTACATTAATCTTGCCCAGGAATCTTTTTCCACTCAAGCTGTTCTGGTACATGTGCGAGGTTTTATCGGCCAAGTTGCATGGTATGCAGCGAGTGTTTCACTATTTTTAAATGCAAATGTTCAAATGTGATCGGACAGGTCTGCGACCGGTACCATTCTGTTGACAAGATTAACTCGTGGAATCAAGGTCTGGACGGAGGATGGACTCAGTAAGAGAACAATCGACAGGCCGCACTCTGTGTCATCTATTGCATGGTTGCCTAACAGCGACAGTAATTAGTTTTATCGTCCTGTCTGGTTGTACGTTACTGATGCTTTACAACAGCGCATTTCTTCTCCGTCGAAGGTAGTGATGTTTTTAAACTGGTTAGCGCAACTGTCATTATTTGTGTATGCACTGATAAATCGTGAACTCTTTCTTCAGGACATCCAAGGAAAGGTGTGATCAAATTACTCGGTGTCAGCCGAATCCCGACTGAACATATTTCAAGGTTCTTGATTCGTATCACTTTGGTCGCATCCAGTTGCACAATGTGGCTGTGACTCCAGATGGTCAACGGCTACTGGGTGTGGGTCCACTCCTTGCCGCACCTAATGGATTGCATCCGAGCCGCACCACTAGGGTTGAAAAACGCATAATAGGTGAGCGTTGTGCATGTCCATAGGCCATCTGGTTAACTTCGTATACCCTAGTTTTCAATATTGAGACTAAACAATTCGAAAGGTGAGCTACCTTCATCTTTTCGAATATCTTTACTGATGGAGTTCAAAAGTCAGACACCCGTCGTGAACGACGTGCGTGACATCACGATATCCAAAAGGGGTGGAAACGTGCTGATTTCTTTTGAGCGCAAGGTACCGAGAGTCACGATACCTTTACATATTCTGATCACTTATATCGTATTCGTAGACACCGCCACAGTTGTGGAAGATGGAGCTGGTACGGGATGCCAGAGGTCGTGAACAACACTCGTTTGCACAAGTCGCTAGGCTACTTCTCCGTCATACGTATCTGCCCAAAGCTCAGGTGGATATCGCGGGCTCTAGCTACTTTGGCGGCAAGGAGGATCAGCTAGTGTTATGCGCAGGAAAAGGTACGTCTGTCGGCTTCGTCTAAAAACTGTACTTATGAATACTCGGACACAGCGGGCGATATCCACATCTGGGATCGCGATAGTGCGGCTTTACTCCATTACATTAGACCCCAAACATTCGGCGGGGACTTGACATGTGTTGCGTGGAATCATTCCACGGACGACCCATTCATGTTCGCCACGGGCAGCCACGACGGTACTGTGCGCATATGGACAACACCAGCGGGGGACCGCTCTTCCGATGACGCTTCCTATCTCGAGCGGCGCACTGATGCCGGTGCGACAAATTCGGATCAGTATGGGTCTTCGCCTATCCTGAGCCCGCCACCTGTACCTGGATCCAGTCGTCGAGAAAGAGCGCCGACCATACGGACCACATTCTCAATAGGGCCTCCTGGGTAGAACATCGCGGAGATTCAGCATGGGCACCATGTAATAGATGTGTGCGGGTCTGCATTTTCGCGTGTTCACCCAGATTTTATATATATTGTCTCTGTTAGTATCTTATTTAGGACGGCATAGTTTAAATACAACACTGTAATCACGCAACCATTCATCCTTAAGCTTAGACCCTCTTGGTGAAGACTACAGCTTGAAAATACAAACCCAATATTAACAACATGACACAGGATTCCAGTCGCTTAATTCCGACTAATTCTGCGATGGCGTGTATCTCCAACCTGGATGGATTTTCCAATCATACCGCGAAGAAATCGAAGAAGAGTACTACGTGTCGAACGAAAGGATTACCATATGGCATAAATGCAATTCATAGTAGGTGGTAGGAGGGAGGGACTAGGGGGCGTGTGAGTGTTGTACATAGAACGTTTGGTCTGATTTCAAGCTATGACCTGTCATGCGGTAAATGTGATGTCGAGTAACCGTACGAAATATCTTTGCATTTCAAAATGCAAGAGTGACTGCTCGCAGAGAGGACTGTATCTGGCAAGACGTAGCATACTTCAGTCTCTCTAGAAAGCTGAGAAAAAAGTAGTTAAGGATCGCAGCATGTAGCATCACCGACGACTTACTGGCGAGCCACGCACATAAGCTGGATTTTGTAGCTTCATCACATGCCTCCATCGTGGATTGTAACGTTGTGGATGCCTCTCCAATTCTACCCGCCCGCATGAGAGCGCGGTATAGTTGCTTGTGGGCGGTGAGCCACAATGACTCAAGATTCCACCCGAAGAGCTGCCAAAAAAAACACGCAGTTGAACATGAGGAAATACTGTTGACTTTATAACACCAACGTACCACGGTAAAATCCCCATACATACGATGAATTGGCGATTTGGAAAAGAAAACGCTAGCCTTGACAGCGGAAGTGAAATGGTTGACAGCTTCAAGCTTATGAGACCAGCTACTCAAGGCAATGTTGCCTAATTGGACGCGTAGATACGTCTGATGCGAAATCATCAAAGTCAGCACACGAAATTGTACTTAATACTCACTTCAACGACACGGCAAGCAAGAAGATCGGTATCAGGAAAATCATTGACTAGTTCTTGGACGCGCAGCATTGCCTCATCGTGTTTATTTGCATTAAACAGTGCGATAGCCTGTGACTCGTAATGAAGCGCGGAGTGTGCAATAAAAGAGCAACATGCCTTGATCAGGAAAAGTAAATGTGTTGTCCTTGCAACACCATCAGCCGATCTGAACGCAAGGTCAAAAACTTTCGTTGCGTCCCGGAACTGCCTTTTCCCATAGAGGGCAATGCCCTTTGCAATATAGCCTGTTAACGATGGATTAATGCGTATTGACTATGCCAGGATCAATGTTAGCCTATGTGAAGTGCATGACGGATGACTTACTCCATTTGCATCTTGAAGTGCACGGTCCCAGTTGCGTTTGCGTGCCATAACAAATGAGCGAGTGGCATAGGAAGTGTAGTCGTTGGCGTGGGCCGTGATCCCTTGCGTGGCTATCTTTTCAGCCGTAGGCAATTCCCCCAAAAGAAGGGCGTTCCGGGCACTCGTGGTGATGGTGAGAATCTAAGGTATGCTCGAATTTAGTTATTAGAGTCAATTGTGGAAATATGCCTTTGAATCAGAGCTTTGAGCCTGGAAACAGAAAACGAAACGAGACGAGATGAACAATCAGGACGGACAGGATAATAATGGGAAAATACCTTTAACTTAGCATCCTTGGGCAAAGCATCCTTGGGTACTGCCCACTCTGATATCTTCTCATCGTCACCTCCACTGAGTATATGCTTGCCATCCGTGGAGAATGTGACACAGCACACCCGGTCAGAGTGCTGGAAGATGGAGATAGTTCTTTGATCTGAAAGGCGCCAGAGACGGACTTGCTTGTCATCAGATGCAGAAGCGACGAGCGTTCCAGCAGGACTCGGATGAATTGCAATGACATTGACATCCTTGGTGTGTCCCACCCAGGCATCACCGACCTGCTCCCAGGTGGATGCATCCCACTCTCGTATGGTAGGATCCTCATAATTGCCTGATGAAAGAAGGCCTGTCCCATCGGGTGTCCAGGTGAGCGAACAGTTATATGAGCCGTGAGCATTAAACTTCGCGATACGGTGCCTGGTCCCCGGATTATAAATTTCGATGTTGCTGGCTGTCGCAATAGCAAGATGTTCGCCAGAAGGCGAGTAGCGAACGCAGAAGACACGATTACCACACGTGATCGGTCTTCCTTGTAACTGCCAGGTTTTCGTATCCCACAACTTCGCCTTTTGGTCCATTGAAACGGTGGCTAGCATTGTACCGCTGGGAGAAAAGTCCAGGGATATGATCCCGGACTGGCTTTTGATAGCTTGGATGAGAAATTCCCCAGTTGCTCCCTGCCAGGCGATGACCTCTCCCTTCTCATCACCGCTTGCTATCAATTGCCCGTCTCGCGATACCGCTAATGCCCACACCTCACTCTTGGTATGCCCCGCCATCATCTTCAACAATGTACCTGTCCTCAAGTCCCACATACGAAGCCAGGAATCCGACGAGGCAGTGACCATACGCTGTCTATCAGGGAGCACTGCGACGGCGAGCACCGCTTGATAGTGATCTTCAAACGCTCGAATGGGTGTAGTGCTGGGAATTAACCGATTCATTTTGCTGGAGGCTGATGGTATCGAGCACGGTCAAGATCGACTTGCTAGAGAGATTGTAGCGGTCTCGATCCAAGTCCTGAAGGTGCGTCCACCGAGCGTCTTTATACTGCTTCACAGCATCAGCCCCATCAGAACTCTCAATACATATAAAGCTGTGATTATAAGCGCCTTCGTGTTGCCGCTGATGAATCGACGAACTTTCTTGAACACCATATATCAACAACAAAGCTATCGAACAGACTCAGTTCTTCAACCGTCGAGACACCAACTTAATACAAACGTTCAAGCCCTTGCCAGGTCAAATGCACAATAACAGTCTTTCAATCTCCACTAGTGGCGCGTCCCGAGGCAGGACGCTTCCTTCCCACATGTTATAGTGATATTTATAATTGTTGAACAACAAGTAAGCCAATTGAAGTTATTTTGTCCTACACTAAAGTGATTCGACTGAACATCTCCGTCTAAGGCCCTTCACTCTTACGACTTCTATCGCATTCAAACGTGACTGTCACTATATATGGCTAGCGGTTGCGTCCACCACAGGCCAAGCATCTGATAGGTGAGTCAGGTGAGTGTGGGGCCACGGGCACTGAGTACCGCAGACATGAATAACCACCTCGTTTGTCTTCGAACTATCTACTGATGTAGCTCAAAACTCCAATTCCTCGCTGTCGACGACGGGCATGGCATCATGGAAATGTATTGATTTTGGTCGAGCACGCCGTAGCGAGGGTCATTAAGTACATCTATTCATGCAGTTTGCATTTGCGGAAACGTCCGCGGTAGGCTCACACGTGATCCTAAGGATCATGAGAACTCTTCGCAATTTGCGTGGCTAATTATGCGTTTCACGTATCTGCAATAGCTCACGGGATATTGCGGTTCGAGTCACGTACTTATGCAGGAAGGAACCTACCACCACGTGTGCGTACATATACATTCTATGTATGCTTGTAACGACGGGCGATGTCCATATCTAACGCGGTACTGCAACTTTGTTCCGCTACGTTGGACTTGTGCATTTTCATGAAGGAACCTTCTTCAGATACTTTGGCTCAATTTCTACTTGACAACCAAGGCCAGTGATGCGTAGTTGTTCTACGTATGTTCTCAGCCTTTTCCCACGACACTGGCTCACTTCCGGTGTAGATCCAAAGGCATTTGCTCTCCTCTCGTGCCATGAGCAAATACATATACCGTTGTGAATACGACCGACTGTTCACTCTTTGTTGGCACATTCATATTTACCTTCTCTTCCGACCGCAATCCACACGTTTCTGTTGGCATCATCGCTACATTGACATGTGCATATACTTCCTCTTTTCCCGTTCAATGAACTCCCAAGATGCACTTCTTTGCAACTTCCCATTACACTTTGTGCGATTCCGATCCGATGGACGCATGGTACTGAGCCTTACTGACCAGAAGTGGGTCTTTTGTTCTGCTTATCTAAGAGCATCCACTTTCAGAAACTCCTCAAGTGGTCTGTTCTTGCTGCGCACGCCACCTTCATACTGAAGATGGACCCAGGTGAGGACCAAGATGAAAGATTCAGCATCATACGCATACGCATGCTTGACCTTGCCTGCCATGACTTTTGGCGAGGGAAGGTTTACCGCCATGAATGGTACCTGCTCCTGTGCGCTCGAGGCCGCTAGGACTGTCTCGTTGAAATGACGATAAGTCGTAGTCTTTGAGAACGCCTATGAATTGACCGTGTACGCGGTATCCCATGAGATTGCTGAAACTGACGTTGCAGTGGCGTACACCCCTTTTTTCAGAGGGCGCGATGGCCTGTCAGAATATGGAATGCATGTACAAAGAGCATGAGAAGGAAAGAACACCTACACTTTACCATTTGCCACCACGCGGCGAGGAACTCCCTCTTGGTGAGCAACGTGATGGGGAGAAGCTTTTTGAACACCATAATGCCCAGGGCACGGCTGCTCCGTTCAGCGTCCTTGAGTCCTAGTGTGCGCCTGATTTTTGCCGTGGATGTTCCTTCAAGCTTGTCGAACAAGATCATCTCTGGATCAGCATGCCAGTGGCCCAGCACCTCTAATTGATCTTTTTTTTGCAATCTTATAGACTTCATCGAGGATCTGAGGCTCTCTCTGTTGTCTCCTCTGGCCAATAGAGACTTTTCCGTGCTGAGCGACCGCCAACAGTGTGCATATTCGCAGGATGGGAGGGAGGGTTTGGGTGGTTTGTAGTTTGATCGGAGAACTGCAAGGAAAATGAATTGGATAAGGAGATGGTGTTGCGGATGCCCACGGAGATCAGTACTGAAGTACTGATCAGTCAGAAGATGGAGTTGTATGCTTGAGTTGCGCTTAAATGAGATTGATTTCAAGTTGTATAAGGCTGGGACCATTCTCAGGAATCGCACTCCCCCATATCTCACTATGATGTATGAAACCGAAAGAAATGCGATACCCAATGTTCGGTGCGAAGCTGAAGCAGCGTACATTGTAGATATATTCAGATACTTGCGAGCTACTGAAAGTCGTGCGATGGGCAGAGCAAGAGGGGTTAAAGAAGAAGCTTGATCATAATGCAAGAATGATTCAACGACGGGGGACGAAGCGCACCAAACAATTTTCAACCGACACGTTGTGCAATGTCGGAAGCGAGATATGCAGCGAACATGTATGAATATGGAGCACGATGGTGGCGAACAGCAAAAATGGTGGGGCAATCATGAAGGATAATGAAGGCACCCGCAAACACGTAGAGTACATCACCAACTTATAAATAGATAATTATGGGTAGAGGTCCGCCTAACAGTTCAGGAGACATAAGATTTGACCGTTCTCCCGAGCTCCCCTTGGTCGAGGAGACGATAATTCGGATCCTATGAATGAACAAGCAAGAACATCTGTCGAGTGGGCCTTGCCTGCAGAAGTGGATCAGCGCCTCCGAGTCTTGTATGGTGATCGACAAGTCGCGAGTCTCAGCGCACTACCGTTTGACACAATATTCGTCCCATGAGCTCCGATGTGTAACCTTGAGGACTACAGGGAAGTAATTCTAAGGCTCATTGAAGGAGCAGGCGGGTCCTCTTCTCCCACTTTTACTCCATACAAGAAAGATCGCACAGCCAGCTGTGGAATGCAGACAGTGACTTCTGATGAGACATCCTGAATCAGATCCCTCGGTTATTCGTGTTCAAACTTAGAACTGTTAGAAGTGTTCGGCAAAATGGAAGGGTGATATTTGTAAAATCAGAATTGGTGGCAAAGGCTGCCGATCAGTGAAATTCTTCTACAAAATTTTCTTGTGCGACGCACGGGGTGTCAAGACGGAGCAATGAAATGTTCATTGAAGAAGGAAATCGTACCCGATAAGTGCCAAAGGCAACAACCACAGCATAATCCGAGGATGAGTGATTTCGATGCTCCCTGGGTCCTCGTCTCATACTCTGTTATAGAAAAGATCGCGCAGTGACTCCAGTTGTTCGGATGCAGAGAGAGATATCTAAAAAGAACATCGAGAAAGACCATCAGATTCCTTGATTACTCGGGTGTTCAACGTTCAGGGGGACTACTGAAAGTGACTTGTCGTCCGAAGGTTTGAAATTTGTAAATCAAAACGGAGGTAAAAGGCCGCCGTGAAGGTGACAGCTGTACAGCCTATGATTCTTCAACGCGCCCACAAGCCACTCCTTTGCGGAGTGCCAGCCTGAGAATCCCATGCGAGCCTTTCACCTGTATGGAGGTAAAACTTGATACCATAGCAAACCTTTTTTATCGAGATTTCAACCGATACGTGTTGGATACATGGCAAAGAAAACAACAGGATCAAGTAGGAAATTTAGGGATACATGATTTGGATTGAAAGAAGATTGAACTCAACCGGCGGACTTGTCGAAGGTGATTACATAATTGCCGGTGTTTACTGAACCGTGAGTCTGGCTCTGCCCATCAACTTCGTTCAACTACTTATCGATTATCAATTGTGGACCTTGACTTGAAATATTTAACAATGGTATTTTGCTAGTTTAAAAGCTGGCTCAGGTTTGCGTATTCTGATTCTCAACCCGCTTTCTTTTCCATCCGAGCCTCCTTAGGCCTCATCATCATGGCCGACAATGCTGACGCCACCGTACACAAGACACCTCCCCGTAACTCTACCTTGTCTGCCAATTCGGAGACTGGGCTCAAGTCTACCCCACTCGCAGTCGGTTCCGCTGCTGTCAGCGAACATATCAGTACTGTTGGCGTTGAGTGCGTCAATTTCCTTTTGTTCTCGCCACGATCACCCATATCAGTAAATTTCGCAGAGTCAATGATGTCCGCCCATGGATCGCGAGGGACGTCCAAAACTTTGAGAAGTGTAAGGCAGATACGATGCTGCAAGAACTCCTTGCAAGATGCACAGGTTCCTCTCAAAACCTTTCTGGCAGCCAGAAATCGAAGCTACTCGAAACTGCCCTCAATGCTGTCCTGCCTATCTGCAATGTGGGGGCTGTAGCGCAGGAGATAAAGGGACACCTGACTGATTTGTAAGTCAGCATTTCGAGCAGTGCGAAAGAAGACTGACGCTATTGTCAAGTTGTGATATCGAGCGCGAACCATCAACATATGCTCCTTTCGTCAAAGCCGCCAATTGTGCGCTCCGTGAACTAAGCAAGGTGAATGTAGATGGGATACCTGCATTCAAGGTCGACGACAAGACCAACGTTCTACTTCATGTCAATGATCCAAAGCCTATATACCAGGACCACCAGGACAAACAGTCCGAACGCAAGCCTGACCTTGTCGTCGTCTCTCATCAAACTGCCCTGGGTAAGAAATCACACGAAACGCAAGAATCCCAGGTTTTTACCGAGACGGCGTGCAAATCGCCCAAAGACAACTTTCAATGGACCGATGTTCGATCGACATTGGAGTTGAAACGCCCCCGGAAGTTTCTGACCCATCCGCCGTCCGTTTATACGACAGATTACGTCGTTCCTTCTCCTTCTGCGCAGTATATGGAATATAGGAAGGACGCGAACGGCCCTGCTAAGCCAACAGGTTCAATATCTGCTACTGGGTCTGCTCAGACCCCCCACGAAACATCACATGAGTGTAAGCTGTGGTATGTTCGCTTTCTGCTTTCTTGCTGACATGTGCGAGGTAGTAAGACCCTCGTCGCAATTGAGCAGAGGAGTCAAGCGCAAGCGAGATGAAGATCGGACTGAAGAGAAGGAGCCGATAAAACCCCCTCCTATTGTCCAGAACGGCCTCTACGTTGCAGAGATGTTCGCGGCTCATATCGCGCGGCAACACGTCATCTCCTTTATAGTGAACAGTAAGTTGTTGATTGGATGCTGTAACCTGGCGTCAAACTGACAACTCCTTCCAGACGACTATATCTATGTCTGGGTTTGTGATCGCGAAACCACGATTCAAGGCGCCGCCATCAACTTCGTTCAGGACCTTCCGCGCTGGTTGGTCTTGCTTCTCATCATGCAGCGGATGGGATACGAACAGTGGGGCCTTAACCGCGTGTTTGAGCCTGAGCCTGGATTTTCGGGTAAAGTGATGGTTGAGGTTGAGGATACCCAAATCGACCTTGAGTTGGATGTGAAGTCTAAGGAGCGCGTGACTCATTTTGGTATACGCGGACGTGCAACTACCGTGTTTCCGGTAAAGAGCGAGGCACTATCAGGTCTGCAGCGGGATCCCCGTTTTCCCAACGAATCTTCTGAACTGGTGGCCAAGCTCTATTGGCCAGAAGAGACGCGTCAGAGCGAGCCAGATATCCTCAACGAGGTCTACAAGATTGCACAGACAGATCCGGATGTGCAAGGCCACGTCCCAGAGCTGGTCTGGTTCCACAAATTCAAAGAAACATCCACGTCCAAAATCAGAGTCGCACTAGGACTGAAGGACGCTGAACGGGCCGAACAGGGCAGCCGCGTCCTGTACATCATCGTATTCAGAAAGCTTATCCCAATCACGACGCTTTCTGGCGAGGAGTTCATTGCCGCATGGTGGCAAGTTGTGAAGTGTAAGTTTTTTTCCCGTTCTCCTGCTCTTCATCATTCATCCACTACTCGACAGGCCATCGCGCCCTCTGGAAGGGAGGCGTGCTTCATCGGGATGTCAGCCCTAGCAATCTTATGGTGTACCGCTTACGCGGTCAATACATAGGCGTTCTCAACGACTATGACTTATCGTCGTTTAAACGTGATGGTCCCAGGGGCCTCGAGCGCACAGGAACGATACCATTCATGGCGATAGACCTTCTCACGCCAGACGCCATGGCAGGCAAGGTCGAGCATGTGTATGCGCATGATGCTGAATCGTTGATCTGGGTCCTCACCTGGGTCTGTCTTCGGTATAAAGATGGCGAACTCCTTAGCAAGAACAGACCACTAGAAGAATGGTTGAAATTGGATGCTATCCGATGCAGGAAGGAAAAGAATGATTTCAGATCATCGGAGCTTCCTACCATGTGTCCATCCGAATCGCACGCAGTGTCCTGGAAAGTTGTAGAGAAGTGCTTTGAGGGGATCTACTTGCTTTACCTTCCATCAGGGTACCGCAAACTCGCCGATGAATTGGCTTTTCAGTTGTTACTTGAGGGGCCTATGCTAGAGCATGAGAGTCGTAGGCGTACTTATAGTTGAGGTAGCGTGCCTCTCTTACAAATCGCTTTGTAGAATAAACAGTCGTAGGCGAGAAGCGGTCTTGGGTACCGCCATGACTTTGTAATGAATAGAATGGTGCAATACGACAATCATGGAGGCTAAGCTCGCGCATTTGAGGACACGTAGTTCCTCATACCCATTATCACTTATGCAAGGACGGGCTTTCGGTCATCTTTTACAGTAGCAAGTCAGTATTGACAACATAACACAGGGTTTCAGTTGCTTAATTCCGACTCAATGGCGTGTATCTCCATTCTAAGTGGATTGCCCAATACCGCGAAGAAATGGAAGAAGAGTACTACGTGTCGAACGAAAGGATTACAGTATGGCATAAATGCAATTCACAGTAGGTGGTAGGAGGGAAGGACTAGCCTAGGGCATGTGAGTGTTGTACATAGAACAGTTGGTCTGATTTCAAGCTATGACTTGTCATGCGATAAATGTAATGTCGAGTA